TCCTTTTCACTTTAAATATAGTGGTATACAGTCAAAGAAATTAATTTTTAACAAGTCAGTAATTGTTGAAATCTACAAACATTAAGTATATGTAACCGATAGATACTTTATGAATATCGCTATTGACAGTATGAAGTACAGTTTTTGAGAGTGCAGAAGGATTTGGATGAAATTTGCAGACTATGAGAGGGTGGACATTGTTAGGGGATCATCTTTAAGCTCGAATACTGAGCATCAAAGTTTTGCCGAGCCAGCAACTTTGTCTCGAGAACTGAGTATTGAAGACTTATGAGGCTCGACTTCCCCACAGTTTCGTCTTCAACTCGATAATTGTCATCTCAGATGCTACGGAACAATCTTCATTATCGGTTAATTTAATAATCTGATTCTGCTGATGACTCATTTGGATTCCGTCGTGCTTTTGACCGACTTCTAAAAGGAAGGTGGTTCAGTACTCGTCGTATACATTTCTTTAACAAAATTTTGCTATGCGAGTCGTTTGCTACGGAGTCTAGATCGAGAGGACAGTTAACGACAAGGAGGAAAGGGGAGATTTTGCTTAAAAATCCGCCTCATGTAAACTTTATCCATCATATTAAACTGTCAAACACCGCAACCTATTGTTCTATAATTGTGTCTACAAAACAGGTACTCGACGAGTTAATTATTTTTGTACTTAGAATGATACTATAGCTAATTTATTGTCGTCGCAATTACACCTAGAGTTCATACTTTAGTTCTGTTTATATGTACTCAGACATGCAGTAACGATAGTACCTACATATCGTAGTAATAACGATAGTCAGAAATGTAATAACGATAGAAAGTTACCACAACTATTACGTTACTGTGTGATTTTTATTTTATAGGTAAAAATATTTTTTCGAGGGGTAATATATAAAAACCTCTTTGACGGTTTAAATCCGCTTCATGCCGTGTATATCGGGGCTCTAATGCGTGGTACATCGTTCCGTGTGAACGGGCATGATTCATCAGAGTCCATTCACTACGATCTTTGGATTCAGCTGCGGCTTAGCTAGAGATGAGGATAAAAACCTTTTTTATAGGGGACGTTTTTTCTTAGTTTCAATAAGTATTTGAAATAGTTTTTCATTTGAATAAACTACATGTGTACCTTTGATGCTAAAAGTTTATCTTTATAAACCTTAAGTGAGTTAGTTTGCTCGTCAGGTTGTTGCTCGTTAGGCATCTATAATATCGCACCTAAACAGCTAAATCAATTCTAATCAATTTTTGTATTGAATACAAGGTTACAAGTATATATGAACGCAAGGTTGCGACTTCGTGAGTATACCTATTATACAATATTTTTAACGTAGGTATCAATTTACACTATGCGCACATTGTCGCAGCACTACGTTCAACAGAGATTTAGCCGACGCGCCGTCGACATCGCGGATTACCGTGATTTCCCGAGGGGCTTGGACCGAAAAGACACCTCCGTTGCATCCACAATATTACTTTCCCATACTGTGGACAGCTGCTGACGCGTTGAGCACTCGTAATTATTTTCTGATGTAATCATTATCGGTGTTTCAGGATACAGACATACGTTAGCTGTTACTTACATACGACTTCCTTCTACATAGTATGATGTTTTCATGTCCTGGCAAAGTCTATTAAATACATAAAAAAGTAAGTCTTATTATTAGTAAATCAAACGTTAGTTGGCAATTTGTTTTGCTCAACGTATCGTAATGAATAAAGTATGGACGACTGAACATATTAATGTTTGCGATGAAAATAAAAACATCTATGTCTACCCTCCTAAGGCGTCGACAATGCATCACGAGGCGACATCCGGCGGAACTGACGTAACGAGGCCGTTGTTGTGCCCCCGCACCCTTCAGCACCCCGCGAGTATTTTTCCGAACCCCACTGAGATTATTTCGGGATAGTATTCAGTGGCTCTCAATGCCGCCATGGTGATGAATACCGGTTCATATTAATGATTTGTCCGCAGGCTGTCTGCAACGGTCTCAATAAACATTCATTCATCGCTCGTTATGAATACTATACTCTCTTAATAAGCGTGGTTTCGGTTATCATTATTTTAATCTCGCAATGATTATTTTCATACTCCGGCTACAATATTACCTACTTATAATATTGTTGTCAAATAGCTAATGGCATCACACTTCACCGTTCTTTCGAAATTCAAATGTTAATATTTACGTGCGCACAAAGTCACATTCAATTCGTATATTTATTTTAATGAAATTGACTACGACGAAACAATGAACTACGATGAATATTGGGTTTATATAACCATTGTGCTTGAATTTCCTGAATATCCTTTAACGAGGCACTGCAGAAGTAGGTACTTATGTTACGAGAGTATACCAATTAGACCAGCTTACGTTATAAGAGGCTTTAGGTACTTTACAGTAACTGATGGAAAACTGTTTTGTCAAATAAGGCCAGATAACGTAGACGGTAATCCGTATTTATGTAGCTTAACATAGGTACCTAGGTACTGTAAGAAAGAAAAAGTATTTTTTTTTATTAAAAATAATAAATAAATAATGAAATAAAATCTCAAATCCAAACCAAATCATTCTTAAACAGTAAAAAGGGAGTACTCTATTGTATCTGATTAAATCATGTGGGCAATTTGGGTAACCTACAATAATTTTGATATTCATTTCTTCCGATATTTATTTAGTTTATAATTTCGTATTTCCATGTGTTCATCTTTCTGTGTACCTATACCTACACATTTTATTCACTCTTTGTGTTAATTTAATAATTCCGAAAACATAATCTCCCGTTTTTCTTAAGTAAAAAGGGCAGCATTAATAATAGTCAGTTATAGTCATATTGTTCTGGTATAATACTGATCAAAAGTTACTAATTGTATTTTAACAAAATTAAATTGTACTGCACAGTAGGATACAAAAAAGGGTTTTGACCCTTTTTTGTATCTTACTGTATTTGTATCAACTTTTATGTAATTGTTGATTTTAATCATGGATTAAAACAACAAGGGCAGTTTTTTACGATACACCTTAAAGTAAGTATTTTGTATTTTTTTTGAGTGATGATAGCAACACTGGTATCAACAATCACCACTATGGAGGAAAAAAGGTACCCACTGTAGAGTTCGAAGGAAAAGGAAAAAAAATATGATCCCAGAAAACTTTTTTGATCTTGATCAATTAAATATTATAACCGAGCAACAGACGTGAACGTGTCGCGGGTTCGATTCCTGTACGGAAAATTTAACGCCACAGGAGAAAATCCTAGTAGAGGATAATATTTAAAAAACAAGATATACCTACGCTTTTTTCTGTTTAAAAATGCAATATATACAAATCAAAATCCCTGCATTAAACTGTAAGACAGGACAGTGATTGTGATGGCGTGACAGACGAGCTTACGGTTGTCGCTGTGTGCCGTTAATGGAGTAACGCCATTAGTCATATAATTGCGCTGCGACAATTATTACTTATCTTTGCTTTAAAACATTCAACAGTCATAATGGTTCATGTCATACAAATAACGCAATAGCCGATACCCATATAATAAAAGATAATATCGATACTAAATATTGAGGTAAGTTATTTGTTATATGTAGGTATCCCTCAGGTAAATAGTACCTAGTTTTTACGATAAAGTTATTTTTGTTGTTTTATTCTAGATCTAGAACATTGAGAAAAACATTACCTACTCAGTTTCTATCTTCATAGAAATGCAATTATTTATTTTAGAAGTTCAATTCAAATTAAGTAATTTTCTCCTTCGCGCCAGTTTTCAAAAAGTACTAATAATAATGTACACAATTTGTTAGTGCTCAGTTCCCCTAAACTATAATAATTGACACGTTAGAGCCGAACACAACTGCTGTAATAAATAATTTCCTGCTCCCAATTTACTTGGCGTGAAGGTAATTCCGTTTTTATGGCGTAAATCCCCTTATCTGAGTTTCCAGTTGAGCAAAGGCCCCGTCGAGTCGTTTCCCAGAGTTATTTGGTAAGATGGTCATTGCTTTTGGAAGTTATGTTTTATTTAACAAAGAATACAGAGATAAAAGTGTTGATTTTCTCCAGTAAATAATTTTGTAAGCGTTTTTTTCAAGGGTTTTTATTTTTTTACTCTTTGAATGAATATCTAATAATGATCTTGGATAAATAATAAAAATGATAATATTATCGTTTTAGTCGTCAAGATATTAACCTTTATAGGGTTGAAAATACCTACTATCAAATGGAATAGGTATCTATTCGATATTCCTGGAAGTATGTATCAAATGGAATATCTATTCGATTTTATCTACACTTCCAGGGGCACCCTATAATTATTGTACCACAGAATGAAATTCCAGAACATCGTTAATTACTATAAAAATAATAAATTTTCATTCAACAATACGAGTGCCTTTCAATGTGGCCGTATAATTTTTACAATGAGAGTACGATATTATTGTAACTAGTTTCGTCGATGGGAAATTTCTGAACAGATTTCCTGTTTAACAGAAAAATTGCGAACAATATGACGAGTGGGGGTGGGTTGGTAGCGGGGGTGAGTTCGCGTGGGAGGGGTGAGGGTGTAGGGGATGTAAACACAAAGCTTCAGCAACGCCGGCAGTCACGTGGCGCGCCCGCCGGGGGCGCATCACTCTTAAGGGTAGAATCGGTAACAACACTATCTTACGACAACAATATTCCGAAACAACAACTATACCCAAACTTTAGTGTAGTGCAACTTATCCCAAGTTATTAGTTCATTTCCCCGTAAGAGTGATGCCCCCCGGTGTGACCATTTCTTTAGAGTCGTATAAATAAAGGATTAAAAACATAAGCATATCTAAAATAACATTTTCAAATGTTTACGTATTGAATTAGAGTAACTTGTATATAATACAACAACCACTCTAAAGAATATCAATACAAAACATATCAAACTAATTTTAACATATCTATAAAACATAATCTTAAATAACATAATTAACAAATAAATAACGTGTATTAGCTATAAATACCTATAATAAAGTGTAATTAAAATATTACAAGCTGTAGATAAGGTGTACCTAACGAGAATGTTTAATTCAAGGTAAGAATCGATGCACATTTACTTTTTACCACGGTTTTATTTACTTTTACACATTTAACTTGCATGATTTTTTTATTTAACTGCATTATCAGCAATCATTTTAGAGACTTAATAAAATAAACTGTTTATTCCAAACAATATTAAAGCACTACAGTATTTTCTCTTCTACATAATATAAATTAAAATTATCTACTCGTTTTCAAAAACACCAAAAATACATATAATGTAGTCAAACTCTTTCTTAATCATATACCTATTTAAATACTAAGTTCACTCTCTTCATTATTTATGGCAAAAGTTTCAGCAAAGTTGTATTTAAGTTAGCTGTGTATGAGCCAGAGGAATTAGAATTTGAAATCATTTCAGTTTCTCTCGTTTTAATATTAGGTAAGCACAGATGGTACAAGGTTGTAAACAGAAAAGGTCTGAACTAGTGAATACAGATTTATTTCTAATATATTTCAAGTTTCCACATTATGGGTATTGTCATGATTTTCCTTCCAATATGTTAACAAAATGTACGGCCTTTCTACATGAAAACAGGTACTAAGTTGACATTAAAATTATTTGAAAAGTTTTAGAGGCCAATAAACAATTAATTCAAAATTTTTGTTGGCTATGAGATACCTACTTAAGTATTAAAATTTCAGTAAAATATCACTTGAATTATATTATTTAATATAAAAATGCTATTGTAGACATTCAGTATTGTTTCATTTAAACAAAAATGCTTGCATTGTTGAAAACTTACAATGGATATTTTTCATTAAATCTTAGAGGTATATTAAATACAGGAATGACGAAGGGCCTGTAAATAAACGATTTTACTATTTGTATTAATTTTCATGAGATATATATACTACATGAAACCAGTCTAATTCCTCATTAAACAGTAACGAGGGAAGCCGATAATTAACATAATATCTGATTTTACTATTAGTCGTCCTTTATACATTTTTCATAATAATACAATTTTATGTAGGTACTCAATGGATGATTCCATTACTTTTTTTTGTATAAATTCTTTCTTTTATTTTTCTCATAGAGTGCTTTTTTTATTTTAAGTGGGGAAAATCATTCAATGACTTCTTAATGATAAAAATCCACCTCGGTTCGAAAGCTCCTGTTTTTTGGAGCTCAGGCAACCCGTTAAGTCTTCCGTGATAGTGTGTAATTTCTCGGTCGGGTAAAGTATTAATTTTGTATTTTCTAAAATTGACAGTAAAAATGTAAAAGCTGTAATTCTGACTGATGTATGGCAGTAAGCTCGACTTATATTTCTTGGAACTTTGTTAAAAGTTAGTACTATGTTTCAAAATCTTCTACTCTACTTATCCCTTTGAAGACCAAAAGGCGAAACGTTATGATATTTTTTATAATTTTAGTGCTAAAGTATTAATTTTTGGGCTCGTTGCCGTTGCAGCGGTAAGTCCCCTCTTTGAGGAGTGGCTTGAGAGACGGTACGACGTCCTCACCTACCGCCTGACGCAGGACTTCATCGGACATGGAAGTTTCGGGAGGTATCTGGAAACGCCCGGGTGTCATCACTGCGAGGACCGCCTTGACGACACGGTGGAATACACAGTGGGGGAACACCGCCGTGCCCTCAGGGACGTGATCGGTGATGGCGATCTCTGGTGTCCGGCCCTAGTGCGGGTCATGATGCGGAGCGAGGGGAACTGGGATGCCGTCTCCTCCTTTTGCGAAGCAGTCATGCGAGCTAAGGAGGAGGAGAGACGCGTAAGGCAGCGAAGCGCTGCCTCCTCGCAACCCAGCCATCGCGGAGGACACTCCGGGCATCGGGGATCGCTGGACGGTCTCCGGCCACCGTAAGCGCGGGCCTGCGGATGCGGACGGCGAGCATGAGTGGCTCGCCACCCGACCAGAACCAGACCAGTTCCGCGCGCGCCTCTAAGAGTCATCAGACCACCACGGATGGGGCCCAATCGGGCTGATGCCGATCAGGAGTCGCGGAGAACCTAACGGGTTACCAGGGCTCCGGCTCGAAGTGCAATAGAAGGAACGGTGTGGTTTTTAGGCAGTAAGAGTCTGACACTCCCTTCCGCCTCACACAGGCGGGAGAAGTCATTCGATGATTTTCCTCCCTTCTGCCACTGCCAAACACCGCGCGGTCACCGGTGACCGCAACCTATTGTTCTTTAATTATGTCTATAATGACGGTACTCGACGAGTAAAAAAAAAGTATTAATTTTAGCATTCTATACTCTACTGCCTCGTTGGCTGAGTGGTCGCAACTGCGACTGCCGGGCAAGGGGTCTCGGGTTCAATTCCCGGGTCGGGCAAATTATTAATGGGTTTAAAAAAAAATCAGCTTTAGCACGCAGTCTGGAATTGTGCCCGGTATATGGCAATAGGCTCACCACCTATTACATGGGACTCATAACATTAACAGTGAAAAGTGGGTGTTACATTGGCATATACAGTGGCATACTGTGCACCTCTGCCTACCCCTTTGGGGTAGTGTGTGGTGTTATGTTATGTTAATTCTATACTCTATACTTCTGTACTATTTGTAAACTGCATTATGTGCCAAATTTCATTCTCCTAAATTGAGAAACTTTCATAAAAATAATATTTTTGTCAGTTGGGGTAGTCGGGATTGATTAAACTGTCAAACACCAAGCGGTCACCGGTGACCGCAACCTATTGTTCTATAATTGTGTCTACAAAACCGGTACTCGACGAGTTAAGATAGCTGATAGTAATTTTCGAATTTCGTCTTACTTTTGGGAGTTACATTGTACAGAGGCATAATCTACACCTCTGCCTACCCCTTTGGTACTAGTATTGTACTAGGTAGACTCTGCTTAAAAATGTTTTGCAGTCTTGCCTAAATTATAGACACAACTACTTTATCTGAAAAAAAAACATACTAATTGTGGTATAGGTACTGAGAGCGATTGTATGTTTATGTCGTGGCCACATCGTAGAATTACCCATTTCATAATATGATCGACCATTTATTGGCCGATAAATTCATCGATTTGGCCACGACATATAGATGCAGCCCAGGCAATTACAATTTGTCCTAAGATCGATCCCAATTTGTTATGTTCTTGGTGCGCACTGTTTTTAATTTCTCATGTTTTTGGTTTATTGCTGTCACTGATTTCAATTATAGGTGTTGTCATACCTGTAAATCAATAGACATGAAGGTACTTACATCAAATATGTAGACCAAAAAAATTGTATGTAGGAACTCTGTTTGTATAATTATAAAGTAGGTAGTAAGTAGTTTCAATATTAAATTATTACAAATTCATTTACTTACAACGATCTTAACCTTCTTAGTATTCTTTACAACTTATTAATAATTAACTAATTCATTTTATATTACGATACAACGATTTATCTACCTATAAGTATATAAGTTTATGAATTTTTACCATTAAAATCAACCGTCATTTTAGTACCAATAAAAATCCTATCTATAATAACATGACAAAGTAACAGCAACAATGGTTGACATGCTCTTACATCAGATAAACATAATATTGTTGTGAGCAGCATTTTATCTGGATCATGATATTAATCAGTATGGAAAGCTTTTTCGTCCCCCTAAACAGTGAACGTATCTAATCTAATAACGAACCCGCCCCTGAAAACGTTTCAACTATTATACGTCAGGAGTTGTTTGCGTCGACAAAACGTTAATAGAGTTATTAAATTTAACGTTAATTTATTCAATTTCGAGTGGAGTTTGAAGACAATGGCTGGTGGGGCGGGGCCCCGGCTGGCACCGCCCGCCGGCTCACCTGAAACTTCATTAACATATAGCTATTTATTACAACGCTGGCTATGTATCATCGATCGATATCAAACGTATTGGAAACGCGGAAATGGGATGCAAAACTGATTGGTCTCTCTCTTTTGTGTAGGACAATGGTCGTTTATAGGTGCGTTTTTACTATGATGAGTATTGATTTTAACCTGTTTTTCTTTTGAAAATTGGTTGTAGCTTGTAGTTGTTAAACTTTTGTGTTATCCACAAATTTTGTCTGGGTGTCATGGGTATGTGAACTTGTATGTTTGTAAACGCACCTCCAACACAGGAGAATATCCTAGTGATCCTATTTTATAGAGAAAAAAAATATGATACTAACAGTCATAAATCATCAAAAGTAAAACCAATAATAGTTAATAGTGACACGATTTTGTAAGGATTGTTTGATTCAAGATCAAGATTCAACCTGATTAAATAGCTGTCATTAAATAATCATACACACACCTGAGGATTTTCAACGTAAATGATTGTGAAGTAACGTGAGAGCCGCCGCCCGTCGGACTTTGTAGTTCCACGAATAGCACATGATATTATGCACAGCTTAAAAGCACTTCTTTAATATATGGTAGTTTTAAGTGTGGGAGAGCCATGCTTTGGCACGAATGGGCCGGCTCAACCGGAGTGATACCACGGCCTCACAGAAAACCGACGTGAAGCGTTGCTTCACGTCGGTTTTCTGTTGCTATACGCTTGCGTTGTGTTTCGTCGTGTGAGTGAGGCTACCCGAGGCCCAATTACCCTCCCCTTCCCCAATCTCCCCAATTCCTGAATCCCCGACGATCCTCAAACTCCTAATCCCCAAAAGGCTGGTAACGCACTTGTAACGCCTCTGGTGTTCCAGGTGTCAATGGGCGACGCCGATTGCTTATCATTAGGTGATTCGTCTGCTCGTTTACCGGCTTATGCCATTTAAAATAATTAAAGAAAACATACGAATATAATTAGCTGGATACATTTTATTCATGGACTAGCTTTTGCCCACGGTTTCGCTCGCGTTCTTTTAAAGTATTGAGGGCAGGTTTACAAAAGATACAAAAAATTAGTACTTGATGTTTTCCTGGTCACACAGATACTAATTTTAAGTTTCTTGATAATTACGAAATGCTCCATACAAACTTCCAGCCCCTGTTTTCAGAAATTGGTGGGTTAGAAAGAAACAAAATGTCGCCTATGCTACTTTCAATCCTTTCTACTA